ATAGGGGTAAATTACTAATTTGATTAAAAATATAATTATTTTGTTCTATGATCCAAACAAAAATATATTATTAATATACAATCATCCAAATATATTAAAAAAAAAGTCATTCTCATCATGTGTAATTATTATTTAATTATTGTTATTGTCATATATCAATTAACCATCATTAAAATTTATTTAAATAAAATAATAATAATAATTATTTTGATAATTGTATAAAATATAAATATATAGACTAGAAACTAAAGGCATATGAACGTGTTTGAGAGGATTAAAATTGCTGAAATTTATTATTATAAGCTTTAAAAATATATGATAAAAATATTAAACTTTTTTACTCTTTTCTACCTATTTATTAGACCAATTCTTAAAGATATTTCTTTGAAAGAATTGAATATAAGACTTCAATTTAAATTACTAAATTTTCAATAATAATTTTATACTATCCAACTTAAATATTTTCAATTAAAAATAAATTTTTTACTAATTTAAAGTTGAATATAGATATTATTTTTATTATAAAATCTAATATTAGTGACTAAATAATTTTTTAGAGCATGGTATTTAAAAAATATATATTACGATATTTTAAATATATATTTTAAATAAAGTAAATTATTGAATAGACCCACCATTTTCATGCCAAACTGTGGAAATTCATACTAAAACGACAGCTCAATCTCCACAGACGCAGAGGTTGAGATGGGACCAATAACATCATTCCACGTCGTCATCATTCTTTAACGAGATTAACTACCGTACACCAACAGTCTCCTCTCAATCTCACCCTCCCCTCAAATTCCAGCCGTTGGATCAGTTTTTTAACTACCTTCCCTCCTTGGAAAAAAGAAATATAAAACTTATCTTCTCATCAAAAAGTAAACGCACTCCTAATTTCTGCTCTGTTTTTTTTTTCTTTGTTTTTGTTTCTCTCGTTCTTTCCTTTTTCTCTCCCAGTTCAATTTCTTATTCCTTAAGTTCTGGGATTTTTTTTTTTGAATAAAATTTTCTCTTGTATTTTTGTTTTATCTTTCAACGAAATTCAATACAATTTATCTCCAAGATTCAAATCTTTTACAACCTTCTCTGTTTCTTGCATCTCTGTTGAATGTTTGGTTTTGAAGCCTTGATTTTCTTTCATTTTCCAGGAAAGTTTCTGTTCTTTCGTATACCAATAGTCTTCTATTTTTCAACAACTATGACCTCTTTTTGGATTTTGAATGAAATTTTTCTAATCTGATTTCCTAAATACGAGAGTTGACTCTGTCGGTTCATTAAAGAGACTGTCATTTGCTAGACCTTAAACAAACTGAAAATCAATTTTAAGGTCGGGATTTGTTGATCATGCTACGTTAGACATCTAGGTACAAAAGTTTCAAAAATTTCCCTGCAGTTCCCACTTCATTTCCAAAAATATTGATTAACAGATTCAGTTTTTTTAAAAGAAATTATTGGATGTCTAGGGTTAGGTTTTGTTAAATCTTCAAGTTGTTACTCTATACGCACATAAGAATCTCCATAAATTCCTGGAGATCGTCTTCTACCTTCTCCCAACTATCAGTCTTTCCATCAGTTCTCGTCAAACTTGATTCATAGACTCAGTTATTGGGGGTTGCGTT